TACTCTGGGAAACAATGAAAAATACTCTGGCGTGACACTTTATAATGGAAAGCAGTTATCTGATTCCATGGTACCACTAGTTTATGGTGGTAACGCCAGTAATTCAAGTGGTGGAAATCTTTGCATGACTGGAAGTTTGGTTCCAGAAAAAGTTTCAGGGAAAATTGTGGTGTGATCGAGGGGGTGCGGGTGCAAGGTTGCTGTGAAGGAAGCTGGTGGTGTAGGGATGATTTTGTCAAACACTGATACTTACGGAGAAGAGCTAGTTGCCGACGCACATCTTTTACCTTCCGCAGCAGTTGGGCAGAAGACTGGGGATGCAATCAAGAAATATATAGCTTCTGATCGTAATCCAACAGCCATAATCGGTCCTGGAACCACAAAGTTAGGCGTTCAACCATCTCCCGTGGTAGCAGCATTCAGTTCTAGAGGTCCAAACCCTATCACTCCGGCAATACTTAAACCAGACATTATTGCACCTGGTGTTAATATCCTTGCTGGGTGGACTGGTGCAGTTGGTCCGACAGGGTTAGACAGTGACCAAAGGCATGTAAACTTCAACATCATTTCAGGCACATCAATGTCATGTCCCCATGTTAGTGGATTAGCTGCACTTCTCAAGGCTGCTCACCCAGAATGGAGTCCAGCGGCAATTAAATCTGCCCTCATGACTACAGCTTACACAGCTTATAAAAGTGGTCAAAAGGTCGAAGATGTTGCCACCGGAAGACCAGCAGCACCATTCGATTATGGTGCTGGGCATGTGGATCCAGTTGCAGCCCTTGATCCTGGCCTTGTCTATGATTCCACTATCGATGACTATCTAGGTTTTCTTTGTGCCTTGAACTACACACCAAACCAAATTAAGAGCACTACCCACAGAGACTTCACTTGTCAGAAAAGCAAAAAGTATACGCTGGGGGATTTTAACTACCCATCCTTCTCTGTTCCTCTGGAAACCGCATTAGGCAAGGGTGCGGCCAGCGTCTCAAGCACCATCAAATATACTAGGACCCTTACTAATGTTGGTGCCCCAGCAACATATAAGGTTTCTTTGTATTCACAGACTCAAGCGGTGAAAATGTTGGTCGAGCCATCAACGCTTACTTTTGGTGCACAATACGAGAAGAAAAGCTATACCGTGACATTCACAACGAGTTCTATGCCGTCTGGTACAACCAGCTTCGCCCATCTCGAATGGTCAGATGGAAAACACAGTGTTCGCAGTCCAATAGCTTTCAGTTGGACATAATCATAACATCGACTGGGTTCATGACACAAATACTGAGAGCCTGAGACTCCCGAGTTCCCTTAAAGCACGAGGGATCTCTCTTACAGTATATGAATCCGTCTCAAGCTATATTATATTACAGCAACGTGCAAAGCAGATGCAACTTTGTTCTTCAATGCTCTCCAAGAAAATCAGGGGACAGTAAATTGGGTTTTAAAGAGAATAAAAAATGGTCGGGCCCGGCAGGGGAATAATTGCACAGAGGCCTAGCTATATAAGGAACTGGCATGTAAGTAAAACTGGATTCCTAGTTATTAGTGTTTAATAAATCTTTATACTTTGCATTAGTTACAATAGTAAAAAAAAAACTTTCAGATTGGTTATGTAGTTTGGCCAACGATGGAATATTAACCTACTTATGTCTCCCTCCTTGTACATAATTTTTCTTTTCTTGTTATTCGAAGAATAGTATGATGATTTCTTTTAAGCAAATTGTAACTCGTAAATTTGTTTAAGAATGAATGTTATAACTGAACCTAACAAAAAAAAAAACATAATTCTGACAAAATATTCCTATATTCAAGCTACAAAGCTTATCCAGACAAAGAAAATTGGAAATTTGGAATAGATCCAGCACATACACAATGAGCTAATTCTTTTTAAATAACCAATTCTCTGCAAGATGTTATCTGCGCATAGTGAATCCAGAGAAACAAAAGGATAGACCAACATCGTCTATTACCGGTCAGTAATCTTACACAATCCTAACAATCAAAGTCAGGAAATATATGGAAGCTGATACTGAAGTGCTTTAGATAAATCCAAATTTAAGGGAGGAAGTAGTTCACATATAGGACATAAGAACGCATCATTCAGATTCCTGTATAGACTGACAAACAGGGAGATAATACGTATCAAGTTGCCAATATTTCTGACTCACACCACGCCAAACTTCTTCTCCTAAGCAATCCTTCACAGGCAAGGGGATTAATTGCATCGAGTACCCCAGATTCTCCAGTTCTAGTGAAACTAAATGACAGTAAACAACATGGAAGAATGCGTGACCTCCACAAAGACCATTAAAAAACGAGTAAATTCCTCCAGGCTTCAATAACTTAGGAAGATGCTGATGGAACTCTCTCAGGTCTTCGTAATATTCTCCATAGGTGTCAAAGAAAATACCTATACACATACAATTTAAGGTGTTATTTTAAGTAGGCATCCCTATATACCACAAGGATACGTTTCTATGATAACAAGGTTATTACTCTACACTAGCTGGTAGCACTTCCTTTCTAAAGTTTCTTTTTAGGTAAGAAACTAAGAACTCAAACTATTAGTATTAAATAATCAAACTCACAGACTCTAATCATTCAATGAAACTACACTATCTTGCAACTCCAACCCAATAAGAAGAGAACATACCATAGCATGAGTAGCATACATGATGATACAGAGATGTACACAAAGATTGTGTGGTAAAAGAAAACTCAAATTACCATCATAAAGATTCAAGTTGTGAAAGAACATCTTGCCAACGCCCAAATATTATTTTCACGTTATTCTTCTTGCCCCAACCAGTGCGAATCATTCGTTCATAGACCTCCGGATGCGCCTCAACAATTGTATGCGTAGCTGGACCATACTGTTGAATAGCTGTATCCACAAGACCCATTCCAAACCCAACATTTAGTATGTTACCACCTCCAGAGCAAACAGCTTTAGCATGAGCTTCCATCAATGGTTTCTCCCAAGCCATCATCACAGCCTTGCTATCAGAGTCCATCAACTTATCCTCACTAAAAGTAACTCTATCTTCCAAGTAATCCCCTTCTGAATCACCATTCTTTTTTGCTTTCCTTGCAATGGTTCCCAAAATCAATTCGGCCTGAATTCCTGTTCAATTACAGACACTTATTTGTCAACACATCATATAATTTAGCTGTCTGAATCTCCCTCGTCGTTCCTTTTGAAACAATGGGTAACCTTTTTGCTGTAACTGGTTTCAATTACTAAATTTAATGAATTATTCAGTTTTCTAAATCACTTTGATCTTAAACTTCGTGTAAAGAGCTAAACAAAGTAACGGATTACCAGCGTTGAGAAGGACTTCAAAGGCTTCCTGGTGACCGGCGTCCATGGAAAAGTCACCAGCTGAGTGGTTAGATGGAGAAAGAGCGTTCCAGGGCGCACCAGCCTCAAGGAGAGCTTTGACTACATCGGTATGCCCGAGCTTGGCGGCGTTCATGAGCGGCGTGAGTCCATCCCTGTCGAAGAAGGAGACGTCGGCTCCTGATGCTATCAAAGATTTCGCTTTGGTGACGTCACCGTTTCTTGCAGCGTCGCAGAGTTGCTCTCCTGTTTCCATGTCTGCGCTTACATTAGTTGTTTCCATAGAGATGAAATGTGAAGTAAAACCCTGCTAAGCAGAGTGACAGAGATCAAAATCAAAGTTATGGCATAATTACACAGATCTCTCCCAACTTTCCTGAATTTATGTTCCATACCTGTTTGGACGAAAGGGCAGGCCTAGCCTCGCTCAAAACTACTGGACCAACTTTTAAAGACCCAAAATCTCAGCAAAAGAGAGGTTTTTCTTTTTCAAGATCAATTCATAAATTAAAACTTTTAATTCTATCACTCAACACAAAAAATTATAATCTGAATCATCCTCATCACATTATTTATGGTCTAAACTATTCAATAAATTATTTAATTTTAATAAAATTATAAAAATAATAATTTAGTATAGAAAGTAATTTAATATTTATTGAAATTTTAATAAAATGTAATTTTATACAATAATCAAAATATATGTTTTATATCATTTAGCTATTAACAAACACAAATATTATTTTGTAATCATCTTAACTTAATATAAAAAAATTCTGTGCGGATTATATGACAAAGTTGTCCTCCTCCATTGATGGAGTTAGTGCTATTTTTGTGAACCCTTCTCAAGGAGTCATTAAGTTGTTAAATAAAAACCTCCGTGGTCCTCCTTATTTTAGACAATAATTTTTGTATTGACTTTTAGCCCTTTTTTATTTTTTTAAAAAAAATCTATTTTAATATTATCATGACTCATACAATTAAATTATTTTTTAATATTAATTTTATAATATAATTAATAATAAAAAAAATTTGTTGATTTAAAATTTTCTAAACTCCTGGTTATCTTGTAGATATGATTTTTTGTGCTTTTTTATTTTCTTAATTAAATGTATTAATAATCAGTATCTATGGTTGACCATATTCAAGTTCAGGCGGTAACGAAGATTCGACCACAAGGAAACATGGTCTGAATTCCGGTCAAAATTCAAAAAAAGAACGCTGGTTTTAACCCAGTGTTGACCCACTTCAGTCAAATATGTCGACAAATCGGTATCATAGACATCGTATTTATATTTAACCGCGGCCGCCGACCATAAATTTTAACTTATAAATTATTCAGAATGATTAAACGTTGGATAATTTAAATGTTGAATAATTTAGAGGTTCTGTATGAATTAGTTCTGATAATGACTCTGAATCATTCAGAATGTATTCTGTGCTGAATCATTCAAAACTAGTTTACTAAATCAATCAACACTAAATCATTAAGAGATACGAAACAAACACACTGAATATTAAACACTGAACAGTTCAACATTCAAATTTGAATATTTCCGATAAACAAACAGCCCCTTAATAAATTAAAAAAAAACCACGTGGCTGACTGCTACGATATGTTAAATCAGCATATAAACATTTTCCGTCTCCTTTGATTCTCTCTTTCGTCTGATCTTTTAACTTTCCCCGTCCTTTCGAATTCAAATCTTAAAGATTTCCGTCTCAAAATATAAATCGTCTGCGACTTATATGTTCCGGGATTTTTAAAGGAAATTTAGATTTAACTTTTAATTAGCTTTTTCTTAGAAAAAAATTGTGGGTGCGGATATTGTTGATTTGTTTTCATTGAAATTGTAGTTATTGTTTCAATTCGTTTTTGAGATGGCTTCGAGTTTCGATAGATGGGAAAAGGATCCTTTCTTCGTTGTGGCTGAAGAAGTTCAGGAATCTGCCGACAGGTAAATTGGTTTACTTTTCTTATTAGGGTTCCTCTACCGGCTTCACCATGTTTTCCTCTTATTTTCTTTGGTTATGTAGACGTGTTTGAAATCTAAAGATGGGTTAACTTCGAATAATTTCTTTGAGGTTGAAAGCAGTTTTTTTAAAGAATTTTTAAATATGTTCTTAAATGCTAAACTAAGATTCAGATTTCAATTACTCAGTAATCGCTTGAAAAGATTTTGTTGCGTTTATTTTATTAGCATTAATTGTTTTTGTATTTTTTGAAAATAATTACATCATGTTAATTTAATTTTTCCCGTTCCAAAGGATGGAATCGACATACCGGACATGGCTACACGCGAGAAAACAGGTTTCTAGTCCGTGGAATTTCGAGGAACTTCGTAGGGACCTGCGTACAACCCTTGGCACCACCAAATGGCAGGTCATCTTATGCTTTCTACCTTTCTTATGAGTTGTTCATCTGGTCAAATTTTTTATTGGGGTTGTGATTGGTTTAGCATTTTGATAAATTGAATTGGTTTTGCAGTTAGAGGAGTTTGAGAGGGCTGTCCAATCAAGTTACAATGAGAATTCAAGTGAGGATGCTAGAGATAGGCATCGAGACTTTATTGCGGCAATTGAGGACTCAGTTTCGAAGATTGAAAAATCATTGCAGGAATCAACCTGTTCGGAGGGTAAGACATCAATGCCTTGGGTGCGTTTGGATGACGTTGAACGAGATGATCTTGCTTTATTTTTGTCCGGACCCTCTGCTTCGGGAGAGAAGAAACTTCCTCCTAATTCCAGGGCTAATGAAATCCCACAAAGAATCAATATAGAATCTGTGCCAGATTCATCGAAGAATTCAGGCCACTCTGTTGAGTGCATCTCATCTGAGGCTAAGGGCAAGAAGTCAAGTGGGCATAGGAGGACTGCTAGTGCTGCTGACCTTGGCACTTGGAAGATTGATATTAGTGATGATGTTTTACAACCGAACTCTTCCACATGTCAGCCCTCCATTCCCCCTCGAAAGGTACCAAGCTTCTCCGGTTTCCTAAATTCCATGGAATCTGTAGCCAAGGTGAAGTGTTCGAAGAATGGTTTCAGGAAGTGGAAGGCAGTAGGTCGTGATCAAGAATCTAGTACAGAGTTGTTGAGACCTCCTCAGTTGGCTAGGGTGAATGTCTAACCAACTATTATACTATCTAAGATATAGATGTTGAGATTTTTGTTACCATGGCATAATGCTATCCCATTATTGTTTATACCTTCCTTTTCTGTTTCCTCCTATAGGGCCTCAATGCATGTTATGAAAGAAGTAAGAGTTGCCTAGATTGTGATGATAATTACGATAAGCAACTTTATGGATGGTATGGGGCGATTCAAAGACAGCTCCAAAGGTCTCAGTATCAAATGCGATATGGTCATCCCATTCGTCTCGCAATTTGGATCATCCTCATCTTTGGCTTGATTGGTGAGCTTTCGTAGAAATTGTTTAGCTTTTTTGCTCTACCTTTTTGGTCTTGTTTTTCTTAAAAGAATTAAGCATGCATGTTATTTTAAAAGTTTTGAGTGAAAACTTAGGCAATATTTTCATCATTAGTAAAGGAAATTCCATTCTTTGCTAATCTCTCTGTTAATTAAATCATGTGCTTTATGCTTCTTCGATTGAATGGTTAATTCTCTTTCGGATGGAATGTGGGGACATTAAAATGTGCCAAGAGTAATGACTGAAAGGAAACAAAAAATGAAGAAAATGTGCCCCAAATAGACCAGTAGCAAATTTGGAATGCATATCTAGCCGCTAGGATCATAGATTCCTTATTTCATAGTATTGTAACACATAAGTATGCTAATTTGGGTAAATGATTAGAGTAGATGAACTAATATAAGATGAATTACACACTAGAATCTTAATGCCTTGTTTGGTTACATAAGTATAAATACAAGGAAAATCTTAATTATTATAGGAGTTTTAAAATAGTTTGTCATAACATAGAGAAGAATTAGTACAAATCTGAACTTGAAATTAGAAAGATGAGTAAAAAGTAATACCTCTTCAAAACAAGCAATATATATCCCTTCTCTTTGTTCAAACTAAGTCAAGCGAGTGGTTAAAAATTACCAAGTAAAGTTAGTTTATTGTTAACTCATGTACTATATCATGAGAAAAAAATATCCCTACCAAATGTAGTATAAATGTTTTTGGTCATGAAGAATACATGAAGGGAACTGAGGGGAAAAAACTGAAGGCATAGTGAATGAATTTGCGGCAACATATTTTCTAATTTTATCATTTTTGGGGGTAAATAAGAGATAAACTAGCATATCAAACTATTCTTGACAAGTATTTGCCACTTTGATCATCGTACAATCAGTGTAGAATTTCATCTGGAGGAGCAATCAATACTTGCATGCCTAAGGGTTTGTTGAATGCCATAGTGCTAAACCATCAGCGACCAAATTTCCTTCCCTGTCCCTGTATACACGTGAGAAGGTGAGTATGAGGGTTGTATCAATTTTGGTATATAGGATTGTTTACTCATAAGAGGTAAGAAAACTGTGTTTTAAAGCTACACTAGATCCAGGTTGAACAGAATGGAGTTCTGCAGGATATTAAAAACAATAAGATTGGCTAGTGAATAAAGTTATGCATAAAATATGGTAGTTGCTTTCAATGAAAACAAATTAGTAGTGGATAACTCCTATGGTTTGGACTTTAGATGGCACAACATTGGCCGGGGATTCAGTATGTGAAAGATTCACTCTCTGCTAGTGGAAAACATTCACAGGGTTGTTATCACTTGGGGCGTATGGAAATGTCTTGATAGTGGAGAAAAATCATTGTTTTCTTTATATGCTTTCAGATTGTGGTGCTCATGTTCTATTTTGTATCCATATTCACATAATCACATTTCTCAAATTGAATTCATCATAGTTTGTGAAGCTTAATCTTCTTGTCATCACTGCAGTTTTAATCACATATCATATGATATGAAAAGGATACAGAATCTTCGACTGGCGGTTAATACCCGGTGGCTAAATATTTGAGGGGAAGATGGTTAAGGGGTCTAGCTTGTGCATGCTATGCTGGCACCTGGATGTTACACCCAGTGAAATATTGAATGAAGATAGTTCAGTGAAAAGTAAGAGCATCTTTCCCCTTTTTATTTTCCTTGACAACCTCTTTGTCTCTCTTTCGATTTTGATTTTTTTCGGGTGAAGGGGAAGTCCTGTTGTTACTGGGGAGCAAAGGGATGATTGATTGAGCTGAGGCAGTCGAATCATGTACTATATGTTTTCTTTTTCTTCCTGAAGAGCACTTTGTATTAATACAAAGCATCTAGCATTTTTAACCCCGTTCCCTACCGGTTTCCTTTTTAAGTTGTAACCGATTAGGAACTGTGTAGAGGAAGTGGAAAACTTATCGAATTGGGACCTCAATTATGGAAAATGTGGAAGTTCCTTTGCTTGTCTCATTTCAGTTCAATCTTTAATCTCACCCCTTATAGATCGTCCAGACCATAAGATATTTTCTGTTTTTGGTTCTTTTGAACATTTAGTTGTTCGTAAATTCAGATGGTTGGATCAGAGATAAGAAGAAGAGACTGAGCTCTGAGCAAAATTATAACTTTATTAATATTCTCGAACAAGATTTATTTATAAAGGAAGGGGTGTGGGGAGCATCTTTAATTTGGATTGGTGGTTCATCTTGAAACTCCTGGTGATACCGGATGAATTAGACCATTGATGAGTCTGCAGTGAGGCACCGGTAAGCAAGGTAGGAACCACCAACAAGGAGTGGTAGGAAGAACTCGACAAGGGCTGCATATTTAGGCGTGTGGTCATCCTTGATTACAAAAGCACTCATCTCATTCTTCTTGGGTTCTTCAATTGAAGCAACCTGGACATCTGCATCATTTTTAGTGGTGTAACCCTGGAGGACGCCTACCTGGTACTTGAGGAGCCACTTCTGAGCCGATTTGCTGTGCCCAATATCCTTGAATGCCTGTGTGGCGTCCTTCCCTGCCCACTCTATCAACGCCTCTTCTCCTCCTGGATGTTCTTCCTGGAACTTTGTCACGTTGAGTACCTACAGGAATTAGTCAAGTTCAAGTTCAGTTATTCGCTCCATGGAACAAACAATATATATATTGAGATCGAGAGAGATGGGGGGGTGGGGGTTGTTACTCTGCCATCGATGACAATCCAGCAGTCTTTCTTTGATTTGTGTTGAGCAACCTGTGAGAGGGTGAAAACTTTATATTCAGCCATTTTCTCTGGGTCTTATGAGAAAGAATGAAAACGGTCGCTAATGGTTATGCGTATTTGTCCGGAAGATCCCGATTTATTAGATGGATGTGGTGAAAGGCAGGGAGAGTAGGTCTCGGCTAGCCACCTACCGGGTTTGGTGGAGGAAGGTATGCACGTGCAGAGCTGTAAAGATTTGTGACTTCTAGCTGGTGGTTGGTTATTGGCCAATACTGTTAATTGATTACATCGACTGGAGGTAGAGAATCCGCGGTGTTGAGAGTCGAACTTTATCAACTCTTAACACTCCAGTTCGATTGACTTAATTATTTTACAGTCATCGGATTTCAATTGCATCGCATTAATAAAATGTTTTTACAATGAAGATCAACAACTAAATACAATCAAAACCAACCGTTGTTCAAGCATTCTATTATTTCCCCTGGTGTACCAAACTGGAATCGTATTATTTCCCCTGCCCTGGTGCAACTTCTTTGGCCTTACCATCCGGACCTTGATCCTCTTTGCCAAAATTCTAAGCCTTGGAAAGTGGAAGTAGATGCCTGAACCACAAGTTGTCAGCTTACCATTCCTTGCTAATTAAATTTGCAAGGTCCTTGAAGATTGGTTTCATCTTATGTAGCCAATATGAATATTACCCTTTCATTATTCGTTAGGAAGCAAACATCACCAGAAAGAATGTACCCTGAATGAAATACCAGAAGAACCGAATGCAAAACATCTAGATGAATTGCATGAGAAACTGAATTTGCTCTACCACAAGTAATCACAAAGTTAACCAAGAATTGCTAGGCGTTAGCATGCAGTTATCTAGATGTCGATAGTTGAAACACAGCTTAGCATCTAACAATGTAAGCTTAGAAGAATATACGAATAAAACTGCAAGAGTAGTTTAAAACTTTAAGCTTAATCAAGTAAATAACGAGGGCCGACTATAAAACGTCTGAACAATTATAGAAACTAATCAGTATTACAGCCATACTTCAAGCAATAACTATTTACCATGATATTGAATTACTACTCAACGTTATATGAAATCCATAAATTTTTGTTGTAATTAAAATTGGAATTAATAAATTTACTGAATGACGATTTTTATTGTTAATTGTTTCTGTACTATCGTAGTTGATAATCTTATTAACATGACAATTAATTTATGAATGATGATTTGATAAAATAACTTGATGAATTCATTTAATTTTTTTTTAGGTTTATTTAATTCATTAAAAAAATATTTAAAAAGTAGATATATAGTAGATATATATATATATATATATATATATTTAAATTAATTAAAAAAACAATGAATATTTTTAATACGACCAAACTAAAAAGGGAAAATTATACTTAGGGTCTCTAAAGTTTGGATGAGATTATATTTTAACCATAAAATTTTAAAAATTATTTTTTGATCATTCAAGTTATCGATGAATAATAAAATAGTAACTCAGACATCAACTCTGTTCAGATCAATGGTGTGGACACGTTAACAACATTAATTAATATTTGATTTGATCCTTAAACTATTATTAAAATATTAATTTGGTCTCGAATTCGAATTCTCCTTTAAACTTCTTCTAAATGAGAATCAATATTTTCTAGTTGCACCAACAACACCACAACCGGTATCCATTTCAGAACTTTCTTTCAGCTCCTACAACTATAGTTTAAAATTACATATTTTCGTATTTATTTTTACTCATGGATAGACCCAGGGGACGGGTAGGGGCAGTTGTCCCCTTTAAATGTTCAAATTCTTTTATATTTTTAGATTTTTTATGTATATTTTCAATTGATAATCTATTTGATCTCCTCCTAAAATTTTATAGATTCGTCCCCTAGCATAAAATCATATATACATCCCTACTTTTGTGAGATTTCTATTTTCCAACTTTTTATTATTTCTTTAAATAAATCTAAACTTTAGTGGTCAAAACAAAAACTCATTCAAACTTGAGTGATCATAGATCTACTTTACCCAACTAAAATGATTTTATATAAATCAAAATAAGTAGCAAAAAATATTTTGAAAGAGTAGATCTAAAGCCATTATTGCATGCAATAAGGTTGGCACTTGATGTTGCTCAACAGTATAGTTTTTTCTACGGCAGAAGCAGTATAGCTAAAGCCATAAACCAAAACGAGTCACGCTAATCAAACTTCAAACAATTTCACTACTTTTTACCTATCAGTGTTAGCTCCTGCCCATATAAGCTGTTCCTCTGGAGGCTCCTCTTCCATTACCAACTCTCGTACGAAAACACTACTTTCTTTTGATGTCTGGGCCATAACCAAAACGAGTCACGCTAATCAAACTTCAAACAATTTCACTACTTTTTACCTATCAGTGTTAGCTCCTGCCCATATAAGCTGTTCCTCTGGAGGCTCCTCTTCCATTACCAACTCTCGTACGAAAACACTACTTTCTTTTGATGTCTGGGGCCTATTTGTTACTGTAAACAAAACCCTGTTTGAAACGGAAATGAAGCTCGTCTTGGTGACATTCCTTCTTGTTTCTCTTGTTCTCGGCTCCTTTTTCTTTGAGGAGTCAATGGCAGGTATATGAAAATAAAGCTAATGGGAAAAAAAAGAAACAAAAGATAGACTGCCCATTGACATATTTTATTGGTAATGGATAGTGATAGATGTATGGCAGGTTACTGTGGCTACAAGTGCAAGGCAAGGTGCTCTAAGGCAGATTTTAAAGATAGGTACATGAAATCCTGTTCAATTTGCTGTCAGAAATGCAGTTGTGTTCCATCTGCGGTTACTGAAAACAAGCATGAATGCTACTGCTACAGGGACATGAAGAACTACAAGGGCTTGTCTAAGCGTCTGTGGGACTCAACGTCTTAAACAGTTGTGGACGATGACCCGTTATATATTCTCGATTAAACTAATATAATCAGGCTTTTAAATGCAACCAAGATAAAAAAAAATGGGTATCATTTATCTACTAGGGAAAATGAAAATGCAATCAAAGCAGGAGGTCTTAAATCACACAACCAAGATTAAAACTAAAAACTTTTTTCTAAGCTTCAATTAACATGGTAAATATTAATCATAGAATAGAAAGTGGGAACTTGACTAGTGATCAAACTAAAAAGAACATGAAACTCAGTTGTTATAAGGGCTGTTGACATTCAAAAACTATAGTGAATATGTAAGAAGAATTACATCTAACAAATATGATCATGTTATAGAGGAATACCTGAGGAAAGGGTCTGAATGGGAGAAAACCATATGAGGAGGAGTGATTTATCCGAGAACCAATTGCACCCCCGCCGACATGCAACCCTCCATAACACGAAGAAAACGAATCACCAACAACACCCTTATCTACTAGTTGATCCACGACACTGAGCCGTCCCCATCAGCTCGATGACTGTAAAGGTCACCTGTTTCCACTTTTTCACAACCAAAGACAGCACGCTGAGGCGCAAGTCCACTTTCATTCCCAAAAGAAACAAGAACCTTCCCACTGCTGGAACTCATTTCAGCATACCCTCCACGACGGACCATTGCAGACGGACAAAAGAACCGCTAACGAGCTGAACACTATTCTTTAAAAAAATGAAAAGAAAAAATAACCATGTTTTTTTTATTATTATTTAGCCGGCATAGTGGATTAGTGGCCAGCCAATCATGGGAAGCCATGTTGAAGGAGTTTTTAATCAAAGTAAACGTGAATATAACGAATGACCGTTATCATGGGAGGAGATATATATACTTATCACTATTGTGTTACGAGGTCTCTCTTAAAATGATATTTTCACTCTTCTAATCATGGTTTTTACTTTTTAGGTTCGCATTGATTCAAAGATGATATAACATTCATATAAAATCGTGATTTCTAAATTATAAAATTTCATAAGAATAATTTTCTGTTTTAGGAGAGTGAACTCCCATTCTAAAACGCGAACGTGACAATTGACATGCTAAGGAACAAGCGTGATAATTGATCATGTTAAGAATTTAACATGAAAAAAAAAGTTGTTATATAAATTTAAATTTTTTACCTATTCAAATGTGATTAGGGAGGAATATCAATCTGATCATATTGGATTGAGTTTTAATCCATCCAAATTTCACTTGATTATTATATTTTTTATCTGTCATCCAGCTTAAGTTTAAAGAGATTCTACTCAATCCAATTTTAAGATAAAAATTTATATATATTTTGATTCGACACTCACATATATATATTATTAAATAAAATAAGAATCTAATTTAAAAATATATAGAGATTGATACAATTATCATAAATATTTAAGGGATTATTATATTATTATCTTAAAACATATTAAATATCTTTTTTATCAATTTAATCTGGACCCGACCTCTTACTTGAAAAAAAGTTGATCTTATCCCAACCCTGAATTAAAAAATCCAGTTTCGAGGTTATTAACTTGAAACACAGTTTTATATTAAACACTTACTATTATAAAATTAGAAATTTGATTATGAAGTACAATACTGTCAAAAAATATATATATAAATAAATAAAAATATTTAAATTTATGTAATAAAGATAAAGTTCGAAAATACTCAAAATATGGTGTATTCCTTTTTCATATTCATAGAAGAATGAGATCCAAATAAGTAATGCCCATGGCCATGGCTATAAAGATCACATCTGATTGTAGCATTCCTCAAGAGTTAATTTGACAACTAACAAAGACTACTAAAACTACACAATAATCCTACACAACGACGGATCACATCAGTTATAAGCTCGGTACACTCAATTCTAATTCTACTCTTTTAAATGAGATATTCGTAGTGAAAATCTCTTATTTGGACAATCTCTTAATGTCTATACTTGTGTAATTCTATATGGTTACATGCTTAGCATCTCTCTCTTGCTGAGCCTGCTAAGCCAGACAAGTACCCATTTTCCATAAACATGGCTGCGCATCATTGGATAGTTTTCCCACACCAGATTCAGCAAAGCATTGTAAACCAAGCCCTGCTCCAACAAGTATGACTGCACCAGTTCCACAAAACAGAGTTGCTTTGAATAACAAATGAGATAGAATCATAGAACGTTAAATGAATGCATTTACACTCATAATCACACTGCCCAAAC